ACACACACACACACACACACACACACAATATATATATGTATATATAGTTAAATTACAACAATTAAAGATTTCAAATATTACCCTAAATATGCATGGAATATCTTTCTTTGTAGCATGTATAACATCCGAATCTCTAACAGAACTAACATTAAATTCTTCGTCCCGCATGTCTAAGACTTGAGATACATAAACAGATGGTAATGCATTACGATCTGGTGAAATATCATAAAGAAATAATTTGAAGTCGCAGACCACCACAAATTGACGAACCCAACCCTTTTTTACTCCACCCATTTTTGGCACTTTAACATATCCTTCATAAGCCGTACCTATTCCTCGTGTAGGATCAATACCTAATGGTCGTTTTGCTGAAAAAAATTATTTATTAATATATTATATTGAACAATTATATTCTATCAAAATAAATTACATTAAATGATTTCTTAAAGAAAACTTACTTTGATCATGTGGCACAGGACACATTGATGGAACTTTATCACAACAGGGCATATGACATGCAAAACCACAAACTTCACATACAACTCCTTGCCTGGTTAAACCTACCATCAGTGAAGTACAATGATTACATTTCGTAGGAGCTGAAAATGTTCTTACTAGAAATTGATGAGATTTTGGTTTTGGTTGAAGATTGGTTTGTCCATGAGATGTTGATGATTTATTGAGAAGCTCATGAGATAATGGGGATGTAGGATCCTAGAATTTAGTATATATTAGATTATAATACTTAATAAAATATTAATCTTTCTTAAATATAAAAAATAATACTTACAATACTGAGTTCAGATAAGTTGCTTTTACTGCTGGAAATACTTGGTGCTCGATTATCTTCAATATCGGCTTCTACACTGTCTGCACTTCCGTGACGTGTACTGCTTGCAGTTTCTTTCAGGAAATGTTCCAAATATGACATTTGAGATGTAGGGCGTTCTAAAACTGAAGTGTAGAAAGAAAATATTAAAAATTAATAAAGTATAAAATTATAACATTTTTTTCTTAAGTTATAGGAAGTTGAAATTATTTTTAATAATGTTAAATTAATTTTTTAAAAAAATTCATAATATTTTAATCTATAATCTATTAATATACAAAAGACTGTAAAAGTAAAGAATTATGTTTCTCTTCTACAAAGTAAATACATAAATCAACGTAAATTTCATATCTTTTGAATATTATAATATAATCACTGCACTGCAATTTGCACCACACAAACTCTGTTAAAATAGTAACCGTTATTATGCAGATAAGGGTTGATGATTGTTCACCAGCAGAAATAGCAAGCATGTAATAAAATGTATCGAAAAGTCAATCAGATCAAACAATCTAAAGGCATTCAGACACAACATACCTGTTAATCATTTAATTACAAAACCGAGTAATTATCAGCTACTATGATTAACAAAGGACAACCATCACCTAAGACGATGAAAAGCTACTGAGACTATCCTTAATTGGGGGATGATTATTTCCAACATACAAGAAACACATAACTGATTTTCAGAGTAATTGACATTAAAGTTAACATAAAACTATGTTTTAGATGAGAGTCATCCACCCGGATACATTTGCTGCTTCCTTTACAAAGAATATTTAATATTTTTTCTACCATTTGTACTCATAAAAAACATAGCACTATGTTTTGTAATTAGCATCCCAGCTGACTAGTCAATCAAAATCGCGTTTTGTTGCCACTTCATTTACCGGGTGGCGATACGATGGCGACGGCATTCTGACTGATGAATGTGTTGACGGGAACGAATCTAGTTAATAAGCGACATGTCGTGACGCGGGATGCACGCATTACTGGTAGGGGTGATGACGGCTGATGTACGATGATACGTTGGGGTTTGGTGCTAACGATGTTTGGAGATTGTCTTGACGTTTTGCTGGATAGGACAGCTGTCACAAATACAGTTTGAAGATGAGCAACAAGAGGCCCCAGACACAGCTCGTTACGCCAATAAACAGAGGCACTTTGTAGTCTAGAAATCAGAATCGCATACCGTACCGGAGAACCGAATTACTATGCTGGATAGCTATCCAAATAGTAACGATCTCTATTATTGGTAAAATAAGTATTGGCAATAGTTTTTATAGCAATTATAACTATAGAAGTACTTAAGTATATTATGTACAATGTAGGCAAAATATTTTGTTAAAATATTAAGATGAACCTGACAGTCTCATAGAACGTCAAATTCTAAAAATCAAGTGCCTTATGTTTCTCCGAAATAACTAAATTATTCCAATACATATATATTTAATCTTCGTTTGTACCTAATATCTATCAATTATGATACATTTTAATAGTACATGCATTTTTAAATAATATTATAAAAGAATTTATATGATCAATTATGAAATATATGT